CTTACTTGTACTTGTTGCGGCTGCGATCATGACTGATCTAGCCGGCCTCGATGATGTCCCGGACGGTACGTCCGACGATCCGTGATAGCAGACCCGGACAGTCCAATACATTCTCTTTTCCAGGGTTGGAGACCGAAGGCTCAAGAACCACCTCCATATCCTGGCGGACTGAGTCGAGCCAGGTTTTCAGCTGACCCTCTCTTCAGCGTTCCGAATTAGGTAACGGTTTCGGGTCGAGGGCGGTAACACTGAGCTGGTGAGGTTGACGATGAAAAAATGTGTTCAAACCGCCTCATTCGTCTTTTGGAGGGTCTGGGAAACCATTGCGATGTTGTCGCAGCGACTGCTGACTACTACTTCTTCAAGTCGACAGCCACTAATCTCTACGGGTGTCTTCTCTTCAGCAGGGATGTAGCATAAAAACACTTTGGTCTTCCCAGCATATATGGACAAACCGACCGATTTAGCTACCTCGTTCATTCGCGACACCATAGACTGTAGAACGCCAAAACTTGAAGCTAGTAAAGCGATATCATCGACGTAGTAGAGATGATTCAACCTGCGTCCGGGTGCGGGTTCAGTACGTAAGGCCTTCCCGAGGATCCTGTCAATGGCGTTGTTAAATGGACTGGGCGACAGGACTCAGCCTTGTCGATGGCCAGGCCGAATAGCAAAGGATTCTGAAAGGTTGTTATGGACCAGAATCCGCGCAGTGGTGGAGCGGTGGTATACCTTTATTATGGTGATGCTTTTGGGTGGTAGTGCCATTATCCGTCATGATGATTCACGATAGACACAATCGAACGCGGTGGCGAAGTCAACAAAGCAGACGACCGTTGATTGTTGGTATCTATGGTGGAATTCAAGGATCCGTCTCAATCTGAAAATCCACGCCTAGCACGAAATCCAGCTTGGTTGGGCCGCGTCCTAGAGTCGCTCACAGACTGAAATCGCCTGAGAAGAACAAAAGCGAAAATCTTTGTAGCGACACAGGCTTTTAGCATTTTCAAGCGTTGCAACCTCTCTTGTCTCCAGTAGCCGTCGCGCGTAGGAATGCTACTAGTGCATTGTCGAGAGTAGAAAGTATAGCATGGATTCTCGGTATACTTCTTAATGACACTTCAGTATATAGTTTTCAAAACATAATCATTCTGACGCACTTGAAACCATCAGAACGCACGAAATGTCTTAGCTTGAAGGGCTGCCAGCTGACGGGCCATCTTCGTCTCCCCTCGGAACTGATCTGTATTGGTACTCTCACTGATCTTAACTCCAACCTCTTCATTTAAGCCAATCGGCTGTGGAGTAGGTCACAAAACGCACATGGCACACCGTCTTGACTTAGTCTTGCCACTGGAACGTGCCGGTCGTCTGTTTCACAGTGCCCAAGTGCCTTACCATTCATCACTGCACCCTTTGGAGCGCGCCTTCTCCCCGCTTTCATTAGACGAATTATCGGTGTCGGTATTAAGACGCACGCCAACCTTACCGACCTACTTGGTTTAATAAATTGTACCTGCCCCTTGTTAAGTCGGCAGGACTAGTTCGTGTGGGAATGTATCGGTTCAGAGTTTGGATCTGCATTGCGTCGTAAGTCAACGTTAGTCAGAGGCGGCAAACCAAGTTTCGAGTTTGACCTCCATCTGGTCATGCGCGTTTTGATTAGATCCGTGTCATTAGTAGTTGTAGTGTATTTATCTTGGTCTGTTTTGTTCCGTTGCGTTTGGATAGCCAGGGTTTTACTCATGTACGAGTGGAGATTGCGATAGACGTAGGTGCTCGTCGAAATCGAACCTGCTCTCGAGTCGCATTCCTTGAGCGTAAGACTTTTATGGAATTTCGCTTACTTTTTAGAATGTTTTTTTTGTCAGCCATGATACCCATGTAAGCATTCAAGAAGTTAAGTTAGACGAACCAACGTTTTCGATTATTAATCATGAGGCTAGTGCAATAATATAAGGGAGGGTAGAGTTAACAAAAGTAACCTATCAGTAATAATTAGA